TATAAAATGCCCTATTACTAGGCTATTCAAAATCAAATACAAATTCACTATAATCATAGGCTAAACTCTGCAAGCCGCCCTTCGGACTTGGGTTTATACAGTACCTTCAGAAAGTATTCACACCCCTTGACTTTTTCCACAATTTGTTGTGTTACAGCCTGAATTTTAAATGCATTATATTTCGATTTTGCGTCACTGGCCTACACACAAAACCCCATAATATCCAAGTGGAATTGTTTTTCTAAATTTTTACAAATTAATTAAAAATGAAAAGCTGAAATGTCTTCAGTCAATAAGTATTCAACCCCTTTATGGCAAGCCTAAATAAGTTCAGGAGTAAAAATGTGCTTAACAAGTCACGTAATAAATTGCATGGATTATCTTGATTTTTAAATTACTACCTCATATCTGTACCCCACACATACACACTGAACAAAAATATAAACACAACATGTAAAGTGTTTCTCACATAGAAACTTAATTGAGAGGAAGGATGTTTGATATGCTTTTTACATTTGTATCACAAACCATTTTTGATAAAATATTTTTGAAAGTGGCCATTTTAGACCTTTTTAGACCTATACATGCCTCTTGCAAGACCCTATGATCTGTGAACCGTACATGATGCAGCAACATATTGGTGTCATTATACTCCTTATGTGCTCTTAAATATTGAGTATGTCTAGATTCTCGAATACAATTTTCCACTTTCATGATTTTCCCCAAAAAATGGTTTGTGATACAAATGTGAAAAGCATATCAAACGTCCTTTCTCCCAATGAAGTTCTCCCTATTACCTATATAGTGTTACTATTGGGGACGTGAAAGTAGTGCACTAGATAGGGAGTACGGTGCCCATAGGGCTCTGCTCAAAAATAGTGGCTTTAAAGACAATAAGGTACCATTTGAGGCCGAGCGTTCTCCAGGGAGGCATTGGGACATGACAGGACGGTAACCCAGCTTTCACCCAGACTCAGCACTGCTGAGGCCCCCAACACAATTAGCCGAGGCTGGGACACGACAGCACACCAGCGTCAGCTAGTCTCACAATAACAGAGCTAAGATGCTCCCCCTGTCTCTCTGTTCCATCTTTTAACTCATCTATCTCTTCTCCATGAAAAACACTTTATTTTCCCTTTTAATCCATTTATTTGAATGGAGGATGGTAGTATGGTGAATTGCAATGACCTTATTGCCCTCAGCCTCAGTGTTACTGCTTGACGGTGTAAAGATTCACTTTATAGTATACACAATCATGATTTTGACCTGGACTGCCTAACTAACACATGAAAGAATATGGCCCTTGTGCCTAGTTGCTGCCTAGCCGGGCTGAACATTTACACAATGCACAGAAGGAAACTCTTCAGTCCGTGCACTATAGCATATTGTATGTGACACCCAATTGTCTGCGATAGTGATTTGAATTACAGCACTCTGATTTGCTCAATTTCAATTGCTCTTTTGTGCCTCCTAATTTGGTTAGTAGAGTCCTGTAAAATGCCACTGTGTATGTTACAGTATGTACTAGGACTATACATCAAAAACATTACAATCGGTTGAGGGACAAGTGTTGCGTAGGAGTGACGCCATCTGATGTGAGACAATGCACATGCCCTGTCAGCACTCTATCCCTCCCTCACTCCCTCCCTTCCTTCCCCTCACCACTCTGACAGTGGGGGAGAGACACTTCCTGTTCTTCATGAAGAACAAGAAACCCTCACCCATCCTCGCACTGCAGAGAGAAATCACACACACATCTGAATCACATTTCTTACACTCAGGCTCCAAACTTCTAGGGCACAGGGTTGGTTATTATGGAATCTAGTGTCAACTAAGGCTGCATCTAAAATGGCACCCTATTTCCTATATTGACCTATGGGCCCTGGTCAAAAGTAGTGCACTATATAGGGGATAGGGTGCCATTTGGGACGCACCTAAGACAGAAGCCCACAGGACTGTAGGCTAGTTTTCACACAACACAATGTTTTGAAGTAGATTTTCCATTTTTGATTCGGCTGAAGTTTACGAACAGCAGCAACAGCACAAGGTCAGAGTCGGAGAGTTTCACCTTCACAGAAGAGTAACAGGGAAATTCCAGGGAGGTTCATTCAACTGTAGCCTACAAGACACTAAAGGCCAGTTGAATAGGGGCTGTATTATCTGAGCCCAGTTCCCGCATGCTGTCTAGTTAGACATCATGGACTGAGATAAATTAAGCTTTTCATTTTTTTTTTGAAGAAGTCCATTGATCCTGCCACCATGTGAGCATGCCTCACTTAAAAACAACCGAGTAAATCAAAGGACGGTGTTGAGTATGTCAACTGTGTCATGCTATGCTCCAAACCAACCGCTCACACCTCATTTGTGAATCTTGGTAGTGTTATGAAGTCTGCCAAAGCCATATAGTGCTCTTTCAGTTACCTTGTGACTTCAATCACTTGTAGGCTTTCTAAACACGTTTAACAGAGGATAAAGACTGCCACTCTGTCTGTATAATTTCATCATGATTGCTATTCTATTGTCATGTTTGGGAACGATGAGAAGAGTATAACTGTCTCGCCCTGATCACATGAAACTAAGTCAGTATGTGACTCAATCAAGTGACACACACACACTCACTATCTTGTGGTTGTTACTCCTCATCAGGCCTGTCATTCCAAGCTCTCAAAAGTGACTGTTTTCACCACACCCCCAACATGGGAACCATTCCCAGGCCAACTCTCTTTCCTAGCTCCCTCTCCCTCTGGTTCAGCTTGTGTATTTTTGTTTATCAAAGGGAAAAGTTAAAAAATAGCTGGAGTGGGTCTTTAAAGGGACCATAACCACTGAACCGATTTCCAGGTTTTGTTCCATCAGTGGCACTATGAAAACACTAAACCCCCCCCCCCCCCCCCCAGACTAAGTTGTGTTATTAATGGTTACATTCCGCAGAGACTTCCTCCCCAGTCAGCCAGCTGGCCAACCAGGGCAGGACATTTCCCAAGCTTTGTGTCATCTTATTTCGGTAGAAATGGTTGGTCATACGCACATCCTTAAAGAAATAAAACGTAGGTGCTTGGCTAATGATGCATACATGAAAAAAACAAAAACAAAGGGCCATTCACTGTTTACTTAGTTCTAATTACCATCTTTAATGACAATGTTTTGATCCAGAGGATCTTTGTCAGGTCAAACAGAAAAGTTTTAATTATAGTGTTTGGTCCTTTCTATTCTTTAACCTTATTTCTTTCCAATAATTTATAATACCATTACTTTTGGTCGGTGCTTATACAGTATTTGTCCTATTTCACACATGTGCAAGTGTGTATTCATACCCATGTGTGAATTAGAAATGTGTTTTTTGCATATCCCAACTCTCCCTGAGACACCCTCGGAGAGTGGGGTCACGGCCAGTATTACCAACACTGACCTGACCATATTTTTAGCTTTTTCTGCAACAGAGTTGCAGTGCATTAGACTCACTCTAGCATAGTCCCAGATCTGTTTCTGCTATCTGGCCAACTCCTTGTCAGCCATTGTCATGCCATACATGACAATTTCATAAGGAGTTGGCAAGAGAGCAGAAAAGTACTGACACCCAGGCTCGGCTCACTCCACCTAGAGGAGGTGTCCTAAGACTGAAGAGTTGTGGCCTGTGGATCCATCCATTGTCTTTGACCAAGCTCTCATAACTAAGGGATTATGCAGTCAGAATCTGTGGGAGAGAGTTGAGCAAGCGTCTGGTGACTGGACGGGTTTGGACTGACTGGGAGTGGAGGAGCAACGTGCGGTTTTGGCAGGATGTTTGTTCAAGATGGATTGTGAGTCACTGCACAAAGTGATACAGCTATGAACGGCTACCCTAAAACTACCACCACCATGTCACCTGCTCTTCCTTCTCTGTACCATGGTCCTCAAGTCTCTGCTAGACCCACGCTCTACTCTGAGGCACAGGACAGGGGATGGACAGCGAGAGAGTGGTGGGTGGCCTGGTTAAGTGGAAGAATGAAGATGGATAGAGTTGTTGTTACTTTATTCCCTCTTCTGTTGAGACACTGGCCCATCAGCACCTCGGTTCAGTAATCTTATGGAAGGCCTGTGTTGTGTTGGAAGGCCATAGGATGGAGTGACACAAGGTGGACTTTGCTGTGAGCCTACCACTCCCACAAAATAATTGGTGATTTTCAACCCCTCCCCATGTCTTAGCCCAGTTCCTTACTAACCCAGTTCCTTCTAATGTCCAGTCCCCCCAGACGCTGCTCTTGCCTGCCTAATGGCTTTACCAGAGCCCTTAATTATACTGTAGCCTCAGTCTTTAGAAAGCAAATCTGATCCATCTGTCATTATTTTCCCCCAACCATCTCTCTCCTAGTCCCAGCAAAAGAAACATTTAATAACCGTAATGCAGAACAGATGGGATCAGAGAAAGATAATCTCTGCTCCAACTATAATTACTATCAAACATATTTCCCATTATAAGTGCTATAGTATCAGAAATACAAATTTGGCCAATTTTGTAATTCTGTTTTGGCAATACCATTTAGTCACTAAGACCTAGCCTGTTTGGCCTTGGTTGGGCTACTACTCACGTACACTCAATTATTTATATTTTTAGCAGCTTTTTTCCTCAGCTGGGTCCTGTGTGGACTTGGGTTGGTGGGCTTAGAATATGATTGGTGTAAAGAGCAGTAGGTGGGAGGACTCTCGTCGTCCTCTTTCAGGAGAACTCAAGCTATTTGGCACTAGTCAGGCGGTTCTTTCTTTCCCTTACTGGCCTGGTTCGCTCTCGCTCTTTCTCTCCCCCCCCCCCCCCCCCAAAATGGCACCCTATTCCCTACATAGTGCACTACTTCTGACCAGAGCCCTCTGCCCTGCCAGAAGACCATTCCTTGCTACGCTTCATTTACAGCACCACTCTCTCTAAATAAAGAGACAAGAAATAGGTAAACAAATTAGACATTTTTTCTTTATTCCCTTCTCTCTGAAATAGCCTAGACATAAAGAGACAGATAACACCAGAAATGGCCTCACTGGGTAGGTGAGTCAAATAAAAAAAGGGCTAAAATAGTTTGTTGGAGAAGGTCCAGGGTAGTGATGGGGGAAAAAATCGATAGTTACATATTCTCTTTGACTGTATATCATATTTTTTTGGACAATATTGCAATATTATTTTTGCGCTAGTTGGCTGTACCTGCACCAAAACTCCAGTATTTTTCCTTCATAGCTTGTTCTCCAATTTCTTTTTAACTGGGAAGCCAATTTGTTTTCAGCACTTTTTTAATTTCCATGACTGATCAAAACTAATTTTCTCTTGGCTCTCTCTTGTCCCTCTGCGGCAGACATATTGGGAGCAATATGTTTGGAACATCGAATCACAATAAAATTACAGTATCAAATAGCAATACATATACAATTGTGAGAATCGCAATACTTATCGTATCAGCACCTAAGTATCATGATATCGTATCGAAAGGTCCCTGGCAATTTCCAGCCCTAGTGCAGGATATAACTTTGAAGTCGGACCTTTTCAGTTTCACAAACAGTTTGATAGTGTGCCAGGTTTGTTTCCATGCCAACTCCATTACTGGGTAGAGTGAAAGGAGCTGTGAACTGAAGGCTCACTCAGGGTAATGCAAACATGGCCGTGTGGACATTCTGATAAAGGACACAAAGGTCTGTGTGAAATGCTGTACATTCTTCAAAGCCTTTGTTTGACTTTCAACTTGGAAACATTTGTTGTTGTTTTTACACCGTGATAAGCATAGTAAATAGGAATTGAGGTAATTGTGCACTGTAAAAAAAAAAGTGACCGTTTGCTCTCTAAAAGACTATTACGTAACACATGAATTCAGAATACACTAACTATTACATCACTGTTGACAAGGGGAATGTGTCATTAAGTAAGCATTGTCTGAGCCAGAATGGCCAATAGAGCAGGAGCCTACTGTTTGTAGTGTGAGGCAGTCTGTCATTATACACCACTTGATTTGTAACAACTGACCCCGCCTCTCCTTCCCAATGCAGCCCAGACAAGCGAGGTGATTGGAGAGTTTGGCCGTCTGTATGAGCAGCAGTATGCAGTGGCCCTCTTCAACAAGGTCCGCTTTGACATCGAGGGAGGAGGGGGGCCCCAGCCACAGCTACTGCGCCGCAAGGTAACTAACACGTCCTCCTCTCCAGTCCCGCTCTCCTATACTCCTTTACTCCTACTGTGTCTTCCCTGAGAAGGTGATGGAATAATGAAGCGCAGACATCTGGAACTGACATCTGGAACACTTTTCCCACATTATGGTGAACCTGAAAAAGCTCACCTCACACTATATCAAATGAATGGCAATCTAAGAGTGACTCAGGACAGATATAATGCTGATTTACACTCCCATGCTTTTAGTGTGTTCTGAAGATTTAAGTGTGTTTAGATCACTAGATAGTTTATTATAAATACAGTATGAGAGTAGCCCTGATTTGTAGGCCACTTCCACTTAAGCCAGATGAGTCTGCTTGAGAGTTCCATGGTACGGAGGGAAAGATCTCAATGTTCCTTCTATGGTTCTATCTCTGTGTAGCAGATGTTAGTTAGCAGGGCTAGTGAAGAACAAGTAGCCGTGGTGTGTCGTGGTGACCTCATCTGCAGTGAGAGATCTCAAATTAACCGCGCTACTGACGGAGTGAGAAGTAAGCTTGAACAACTGCTACAGTTGACATTAGGGCGAGTAACGTCATAGTGGTCACACCTAGTAAATTCTTTATTAGGATTCTCCTGGGTGTCCAGTGTCTCTAGCCATGGTTTATTATACCTTTTTTAAAGGCTGCACAGTGCCATTCCCTTGTAAAGAGAAACAGTTACATTCTGTCTGGTGCTACCGCTGCACTCAGAATGCTAACTACATGAAGTTGTGTGGAAGTGACTAAAGTCTTGGTCCGCATCCCAAGTGCCACACTATTCCCTATGTAGCGCTGTTCAAAAGTAGTGCACTATAAAAGTAATAGGATACACTTTTTTTTTTGGAGAAATGCCTGCTGTTCTCTTGGGCGTATGATTGGGTAAACTAAACAATACTACTCCAGTGTCTAGGCTACAGTTGAGTCATCACTTACAGACAGTAGTATCACACATGGGATTGTAGTGTAAGTATGCCTGATGTTTCTAAAGGAACGCAAAGGCTTTAAGTTTTAGGCCACTCCTTGGCTTTCTGGAGTATTACAAAATCATGGAATTTATTGTTTGACGTAAAAATATATGGTCCATGAATGTGGATCTATCCACACAGAAGTGATGTCCCTTCATGCCAGTCATCATTGGGATGTGTACTGACTCACCCTGTCTGTCCCACTCAGGCCCCGCTGGAGAATAGGTCCATCTTCTCTGGAGCTCTGTTCCAGTTTCTGGAGGAGAACAAGAAATGGAGAAACCGTTTCCTCTTCGTTCCTGACTCCTACAACATCAACTACTATGACAACAAAGCGGTAAGGGAGAATTTCATTCAAATGTCCCACGCTTACCCACACATACAGTACCAGTCAAAAGTTTGGACACACCTACTCATTCAAGGGTTTTTAGAATAATAGTGAAGACATCAAAACTATGAAATAACACATATGGAATCATGTAGTAACCAAAAAAGTGTTAAACAAATCAAAATATATTTGAGATTATTCTAAGTAGCCACCCTTTGCCTTGATGACAGCTTTGCACACTCTTGGCATTCTCTCAACCAGCTTCATGAGGTAGTCACATGGAATCCATTTCAATTAACAGGTGTGCCTTGTTAATTTGTGGAATTTCTTTCTTTCCTTAATGCGTTTGAGCCAATCAGTTGTGTTGTGACAAGATATGGGTGGTATACAGAAGATAGCCCTATTTGGTAAAAGACCAAGTCCATATTATGGCAAGAACAGCTCAAAAAGCAAAGAGAAACAACAGTCCATCATTACTTTAAGACATGAAGGTCAGTCAATCTGGAAAATGTCAAGAACTTTGCAAGTTTCTTCAAGTGCAGTTGCAAAAACCATCAAGCGCTATGATGAAACTGGCTCTCATGAGGACTGCCACAGGAAAGGAAGACCCAGAGTTACCTCTACTACAGAGGATAAGTTCAGTAGAGTTACCAGCCTCAGAAATTGCAGCCCAAATCAATGCTTCACAGAATTCAAGTAACAGACACATCTCAACATCAACTGTTCAGAGGAGACTGCGTGAATCAGGCCTTCATGGTCGAATTGCTGCAAATAAACCACTACTAAAGGACACCAATAAGAAGAAGAGACTTGCTTGGGCCAAGAAACACACGCAATGGACATTAGACTGGTGGAAATCTGTCCTTTTGATCTGATGAGTCCAAATTTGAGATTTTTGGTTCCAAAAATATATATATACACACACACACACCTTAGCTCAGTTGCATTATGATGGTGTATTTTGTTTCAATATTAGTGAATTAGCTAATAAAAGGCTACTATATCTGCTAGTATCATTCTCTTAAATCTACCATGTCCTTGTGTTCCCGTCCAGTCTCATGAGAGAGGGCTGCATCCCAAGGGAACCATCAACTGTGCCGGATACAAAGTGCTGACCTCGATGGATCAGTACCTGGAGCTGCTCAACAACAGCCTGCCTGGTGAGAACATGTTACGACTGAAAACCAGGGGAGGTGTGGAGGAGAGTAGCAGGGGAGGGGTGGGCGTGAGGCACATGTTACAACTGCTCACCCAATTGTCATATATAATCCTTTAAATGGGGAGGCTTCATACGGTACTTATTATGAAAAGCTTAATGTTATTTGATGTTCTAAAGAGCTTGAGGCTGTAGGTGTGATCATGTGTTTCTCAATTTCGCAGTGTTACTTTAAACTACTAGTGTTCAAATACCATATAAAACACAGGAAAATCTGCTTTTTGACTATACTGGGCCTTTAAGTTGTTTTCAGTGTGAGTGTATGATTCCAAAACCATGCAGAGAGGGCGACGTGGCCACCCACTGATACAGGAATATGTGTGTGTGTGTTTCAGGTGTAAAGGCTAAAGTGGGCAACTCTCCGTTCCTGAAGTGCGCCACCGAGTTCCCTCTGATCCTGTGGCACCCGTATGCCCACCACTACTACTTCTGTGTGGCGACGGCGAAAGAACAGCAGAAGTGGCATGCAGTCTTTCAGGACTGTGTGAGACATACCAATGATGGTGAGTAAAACCCACACAAACATTCAAACCTAGACACACTGTAGAGCCCATAGAGATTCTATCATTCACATTTAATTCTGTGTTTGTGGAGCACATGTTAAACACACAATTCCACAGATCGTAGGGTCATTCCACCAATTGAGTACCTAACTTGGTGAGAGAAAAACCTGGTTTATTTCACCTAGTTTTAAGTCTGTAAAGAGCACCTGTTCAACTTAGAGCAACTGCCCCTAAAAACTAGGTTCTCATATAGAAAACAGCCTATGTGGCATCGATATGAATCAGAGACATTTATTCTACTGTCAAAATTGACTACTAAGTGTAAATAGGATAATTTTGGTTATACGGTCAGTCTCGTCCAATACTGAGTTTTGTGAGACTTGTGGTCTTGACTGCATCACAACGTAAATGAAGATAGGGTTTGTTTCAATCCTGCCCAAATGCCCACAGCTGGCAGCACACAAGTAATCATCAATTCAGAATGCAGCTGCACACAATGTGTGTGTGGGGGTGTGTGGGTGGGTGGGTGGGTGTGTGTGTGTGTAAGGGTTGGATGTGTGGAGAGTGAAAATAGTCTCTAAGGTGCAGATGGTCTCAAGTGTGTAGTAGTCACAAGGTGCAGGTGTCTGCAGGGAGACTGCTAAGGTTAGCTGTTCAACAGTCTGATGGCCTGGTGGTAGAAGCTGTAGCAGAGTGCACAGTCCTTCGCTCGGTTGACTGGAGTCCTTAACCTTTTGGGCCTTCCTCAAACACCGCCTGGTGTAGATGCCTTGGAGGGCAGGGAGCTCGCCCCCCCGTGAAGTGTTGGGCCATCTGCACCACCCTCTGTAGAGCCTTGTGGTTGAGGGTGTTGCCATACCAGGCATTGACGCAGCCTGTCAAGATGCTCTCGATGGTGCAGCTGTAGAACTTCTTGAGGATCTGAGGGCCACCTCTGCCTAGCTGGCTCTCAACTCATGGGGCCCCACAGGGGTGTTCTCAGCCCCCTCCTGTACTCCCTGTACTCTCCCTGAATTTCTTCAGTAGCCTGTGGTTGGTCCATGTCAGGTCCTCTTTGATGTACATGCCGAGGAACTTGAAGCTTTACACCCTCTCCACTACAGCCCTGTCGATGTCAATAGGGGGCGTACTAACTCGTTACCAAATTTCTGACTGGGGTCGAGTGCGTTGGATGCAGGGGCGGGGATTTGTGCCCCCTCGGGTCTCTGGGGCCAGGACTGGGGACGTTGTCATGGGCCAGATGGTGTTTGAGCTGCTAGTGTTTATTTCAGTATAGGCAGTTATGTCAGTGGCAACAGTGTGCAGATAGGATTCCATTGGTATTGTGACACCTACTTTATTTTATTCATTGTGTTTTCTCTTTTGTGTATCTTATTTCATTTTAAATAGTATTTTTTTTTACAGTCCTCTTCAGCAGTGGGGGTCCTCATAAGAGGACCCAGGTTGATTGTCTCGAAGTGAGCAAGTGTTTTGGTCGAGGTTAAATTATAAAATGACTATAGTAAGTGCACATTAAAGCCCAAATAAAGTAACAGGGTTGACAATTTTATCTTAAATCAGCCATAAATCCCCTTATGACAGGGGGAATGGAAGTTTGTTCTGTGCAACAGGGAGGGGCAACTGAATTTAAAAACATTTCTAGCCTGTAACTATGGGTAACGGCTGACGTGTGAGCTCAACCTGCTCAGTTTTCCACCACAAATATTTTTTTCTGCCAAACCAGCTCACCTGCTTTTACACTATGATATAACTATGAGATGTTCAATGTTTCATTTTAATGTATTTTATTTAAAGGAATAGTTTCACCATATTAAAACGAGAGTTCAGTTCACGTAACAGGGTTGACCTTAAAATGAGGGACACATTTTTATTAACCTAAAATGAATCACTAATCACATGAAATAATAATAATCTTCAGAAATGACTTAGTCAAAGAAACAAAATAATAACACCCCTTACAATGATGGTTGAAAACTTTTTAGAAATGTTAGCACTTTAGTAAGTCTTTAAGTCAGAAGTCATATTTATTGAGTTTTAGCAAGTCAGATTTATAGAATTTTCCATGTGCTCTATATTAAAGGGCACTTCAATTAATATAACAGGCTATTAAAATGCAATATTTGTGCACAATTTCTACTTAAAATATCAAAGGGATGCAAAAGGTACAAAAAAAATCAGTGATTTACTTTAGAGTTTTGTTCTGTAGCTAGAGTAGTTGTTGATGTTCTAGAGCCCCATTCACAAAACTAGAGGTTGGATCAACATGAATATGCCTTGCAGTAATAACCTTTCAACTTCACTGTTAAGTCAATGTTCCATTGTGCAAGATGCGTCACTAATGCCCTCCACAATGCACAAAATTGTAAACAAGACAGTGTGACACATGCACAGACAAGTACCTGTCAATGTTAAAGCTGTAGTTTACATACCAGTTCTCAAACTTAAATATAGGGAATCATGTGTATGACATACTGTTTATGTAAGTTCAGAAATATGGTCAAAAGAACAACTCACCAGGCTTTACAACAAAACTGACAATTAGGAGTGGCAGGCAGGTACTCCTGGGTACCACCTCTGACAGACTGTCTCTGCTGTCGCTACGGGGACCAGGTAAACTGCTGACATCATGTGCAGTCTATTCCATAGTCAAAACCTTTCCAATACAACATCCACTTAAGTTTCTGTTTCTGTCCACTTGAAGATGATATAGCTAACTAACTGGATGTTACTGCAGAAGTCAATGATCAAGTGCTGTGGCTGCTAATTATACTGTAGAGAAACAGATGCATGCCCAATGAAGTCATGCCAAAACCATAGAACTATGTATAATCTATGTAGTTATACTTTAGGCTTTACCAGCATCGTCGCTGCATGGCTCTTCAGAGCCAACATGGGTGCCCTAACTGATCCAAGACACTATCAATACGCCCCTAGGAGATAGTTAACATAATGTACTGGACTGCAAACCTACTAAGCTCCATTTTATTTTACCCAAAATAAAATCCCCCATCTGTGGATAGGATCTTGCATGAGAAACATGGGAGCCATCATGACACAGTGAGGCTGGTGAGCAGAGAACAGCTGGAAGCCATAATGCATGGGATGAGTGGGTTCAGACGTCATCACTTCACCACCAGTCAGTCAATGTACTTCACACTGCTACAATGTAAACTACCCCACTCATATCTCTCTCCCTGTTTGAGTTATGGCTATTCTGGTATTAGGGAGCAGCTGTGACCGGACCTGGTTCAAATACTATTTGAAATCTTGAAAATAATAATATAATATGCCATTTAGCAGACGCTTTTATCCAAAGCGACTTACAGTCATGTCTGCATACATTTTTACGTATGGGTGGTCCCGGGGATCGAACCCACTACCCTGGCGTTACAAGCGCCATGCTCTACCAATTGAGCTAGAGGACTCAAATACTTTGAGCGTTTGCTTTAGCCTGCCTCAAGTGCCAGATGGGCAGGGTTAGGGACTATTCCATTGATCCATTAAGCAAGGCAAGCTCAATCAAGCACAGATAAAGTATTTGTAAATGATTTCAAATGGTATGTGACTGTGGGCGGCCCTGCCTGCTGCTGGAATCTGCTATGCGTGCACTACACATGGACAGGGTAGCTAGCTAGCAGTGGTACAGACCAGACCAGGCAGTCAACACAACCAGAGATGGAGAACAGAACAGAGAGAGGAAGGCTCCCTCTGACTCACATGCTCTGGTACTCCTCAACACAGGACTCGCAGTACCTTTGATAGTAGAAGCCAGGGGGAGTTGAATGTTGTGGGAATGGGAGAGGAGTAACAGGGTTCATATGAACACCCTGGTCAATAGTGGTGCACTATAGGGTACAGAGTGCCTTTTGGGATTGTCATGGGTCAGTCAAAGCACATGGATTGACTTACTAAGCACTCCCATTCCAAAATCTGTGATGGCTTAATTGAGTTGTTAGTAGGCATGCTAAGCATAGTCTGTGAGGGTGTCTGTGAGTGGGAGGACAGTTTGTTGTGTGAGATGACAAGCAAGGGTCTGCAGGTAATTTAGCCCAAACTGGAAGCATGAGCTGGCAACATGTTCTTGGTTGAGAGGAAGAGATAATGAAGGAAGTGCCAGGCACCAGGGGCTTACCATATACCTCTTGTTTAGACAAATGGTTACATGTAACAAGCTCTAACTCGATAGAGAACCTGGTAAAGGAATCTTTGAGCAGGCAGCTGTCATTCTTGGGATTCTCGACCGACACAACTTTGTTACTTTCCTCAGTGAAAGATCTCATCTGCCTGGCGGCCAGGGCCTCAGAGGATGTACAGTACAGCTCTTTCTTTCTGTCATATCAGGGAGTCCAGAATCAGTGTTTCCCAACTCCGGTCCTCGAGTATTCGCAACAGCACACATTTTTGTTGTAGCCCTGGACAAAAACACCTGATTCAGCGTAGTTGACAAGTAGAATCAGGTGTGCTTGTCGAGGGCCACAACACAATATATGTACAGTTGGGGGTACTCGAGGACCAGAGTTGGGAAACACTGGTCTAGATCACGCCCCAAAACTCACATTTGTACTCACTTTAAGTACAATAAGAAAGTTAGCCTTTTCTGAGCCAGATCAGCCCATGGAGCATTAGTCCATCTCCTATGTCTGTAGCATGAGGAAAATACTTTACTATTTGGTATGCCCCTTTAGCCTTGTATGAGCAGAGCAAAGACACAGACCAACCTAAACACAACGCATCACTAAATGTATACAATGTGTAGAAGCTCCAGCCTGAGCCACATAAAGATCATGAAGAAGGCGACCACAATATTGTGGAATGCGTCTGTAAAGTGCACATCATGGGGTGCTTCCCAAATGGCACCCTATTCCCTGTATAGTGCACTACTTTTGACCAGGGCCCATAGTGCACTATATAGGGAATAGGGTGCCATTTGGAACATGCATGTCTTCATGTAGTCAGGCCCTGAGTGGTCGGTCAGAGCTGTGTATGTATGGACTATTGCTCTGTAGCT